GCATCACGGAGGGTTGTGTGCGAGCGGCCGCTCTTGTGGTAGGAAAATATCTGGAATTTTTGGATTATCAGCCAGGGTACCATCGTTTATACAGTAATACGGCTCGTATAACCGTGTTATTTTAACGGAAAAGTTGTGAATCACCTGATTCCTTTTTTAAGATCGAAAACATGAACCCAGACGCCGACCCGTGCGAGGATTTCCACGAGTTTGCCTGCGGGAGGTTCAATAAAGTAGGTTATAACGAAATAAAAGTCTTACTGCAATCTTAGAGAAATCAAATTGATGCCTTCCAAAAACTGCGCGCCTCCATGAAGGGCCGACCGGAAGGTTAAATACGAAGTTTTTATCCTAGAAAACCTTTTAGCCGTTCTCGAAGAGTGGAACCCGTACGACGTCGAGCTGCAGCGATTCGAGGACGTCTACAAAATGTACGACGGCTGCAAGCGGTTCAAGACGATGGGGGACACCACAGAGTCTGGGCTTCAAAATCCGGACGTCTTTATTTTTTTTTAGGTTATTCTATAATTATACTCGCGACACTTTTGCCTGGGTGCCATTGTTGAATTTCGGTGAAGAAACGGTAGCTTAACATTTCAGACTGATCACACTTTTCATACTAATTTTGAGAAATCCGATTTCACCTCCATCATCACCGCCGCCACCACCCAAATCTACTTGCCGATTTTTAGCAAGATTTACGCGACGTCGACCTCGATTCGCATTGTAGTCAACGTTCCAAATTAGACTCCAAGCCTTTTAGAACTTTCCCCTCTACGACATAAAAATGGGCACCAACGAAGCAGAAAGGGAAAACAAAATCCGAAAAGCACGTTGCAACCAAAAATGCATCTTAATTTGTTTTTACAGCTGTTCAGTGACTCACTGGAGTTTTTGGGCGTCACCACCCGCGAGGAGGTCGAACCGGAGCAGGCCAGGATGATCTTGGACCTGATTGATTTGCACACCAAGTTAGCCAATGTAAGGTTGTAAAAAATTCTATTTGGTTCTCGGGCATTTCGGGGGAGGGATCCTAATTTTTCCATGAATTATATTCATTTTACTGTTGATTTGATGGAGTTTTTATAAAAACGCGCTGGATTTCAATTCGAAAAACTGTTTAGAGAGCCTCGAAAATTCTTCAAAATTTTGACACATCGACGAAAACCTAATTTTCTTGGTCGACAATCAGGTCAGATCAATCAAGTCGAAGGTATTCCAGTTTCCACCTAACTTTGTACAGTTTTGCGTTTCGCGCAACGCAAAACAAACCGAACGCACCAAATGGCCTCCTATTTTATTTTCTTTGGGAGCCGAAGCGGCTCGTTGTCTTTAGATCTTCCTGATTGTTGACTTCCCGGTGCTTGAAGGACATAAAGACAAGAGAGCCGCCGACCTGGAGCAGTTCACCATGAAGCTGCACGAGTTTGAAGCCTTGACGGCACCGGTGCGGCTTTTAGAATTTCTCAGCCGACCCGTGACGATATACTATTATGCATTTCTATAGTGTTTTCCAAAGTCATTGAATGATAAAAAGTTGTAAAAGTAGTTAGAAATTATTTAATGTTGCACGTTTTTACTTTTTTTTGTCCGTTTTCTAATTCTTTTTATAAAGTTTTTACACCATGCTCTAAAAAATTCTCCATGTCATGTTCTTAGGCCGTCAGGAATACTAAAAAAAATGGGTTTTCGGCCGGATACCCCCTGATAGTTCCGAAAAAAAGAACAAATTACTCCCGCAACCTGATTTGCCAGATGGACGTTCGCAAAATGCTGGCACTTCGACTCCGTGGGAAGGAGCTAGAGAAGCTGGACGGCGAGACGCAGATCAAACTGACAGCAACATCAAAGGAGAAGCTCAGAGATGTACCGCTTGACGGCTTTATGCCCTTGAATTTTACACAAAATCACTCAAATTTCAGTCGATTCAAGTGCTGAGTTCGGCAAAGGAGGAGACGCTGCGGAATCACTTCTTCCTCGAGTGGTTCCAAAAGATGAAAATTAATGTGAAAGTGATACGGGCGCACGAGGTGTCGTGTCATCGATGGGTTGGTTTTTGTTTTGGGCAAGCTAGCAGAGACGATTTGGAGCAGCGGTCAATAGTGCACGTTTGTCTACTTCTAGTGTGCGTAGGTGCCCAAAGTATCTTAAAAAATTGTATTAATTTAACTTTTTCAAATTCGGGGTTAGCGGGCGTAGCCCATTGCACTTCGACATGTCATTCTTTCGGTAAATTCATCTCCAGGTCAAGCGCTCTCTGAAAAAATTCCGGTAATTAAACCGTCCCAATTCCTGAGCTTTTTTTGTCTGTTAAAGGGCTGCCGACGGCATGTGTCGATCCCCCCCCCCCCTCATCAACAAATTGGCAAGTCGCCAACAGGGGCGAGAGCGCGCCCAGGGGAGAGGCGTAGAGACATTTTCTTTTCCGCGCGTAGCCGATTGTCTAAGCCGTCGGCATCCCTTTAAAGCGCACGCTCTGGGAGGGGCCGTGTGCTCGTCCCAACGTGTACACCCTATGTACGTAGGGACCGCGCGCACTGCCTGCCAGTGCCGTGGGAGGCAATTTCCCTGCTTTGCGGCGTGGGGCGCCCCTCACCCCCTCTCCAGGTTGTAGCTGTGGCTGACTGGTATCCGTCGCACCTCTCGAGCGGGGGGGCCCCGGGTTCGACCCCGGCAAAAATCTTTGCTTTCTTGCCAAAAAACGTCCCTGAACGTGCCTTTAATGCGCCGGTATAACTGGAAACGTAGATGATATGCCAAAAAGCACCAGCAAATTCGGAATCAGCGTAGAAAACTGGGCACGAACCTGATGTAAAATCGCAAAGGCGGCTAGACAGCCACATTTTTTTAGTTCTTGCATGTTCACTTCCAGGTCAACTCTTCGTACCATCACTTGCTCACCCATCTTTTTGTCACGCGTCGTCGAAATCCGGCGAATGATGCGGCGGCTTTGGTACCGTATTCATTATTGCACCGATTCCCTGAATTTCCAGGAATTGGCCGAAAGAACCCGCAAAGGCTTCCTAGTGCTAATCACCGACCACGGGCCGCTCGAATACGAGGTCCGAGAGGAAATGCATGAAAAGGTAAATTGATTCTTTTGCATTATTGGGGGGACCAACTTTTTCAGAATAAAATTTTTCAAATATTAGCTTGGTCGGAAAGTAACTAGAACTTTTCGAGGCAGAAAATTTTAAGGAAAGAAGCACTGTTTCGTCTCGATATTTTGCTGAGTGGGAGGTCATATGTTCTAGTATTTTCGGTTAAAATATGAGCATCGAACTCCTTAAACGTGCTGAGCTAGAGATCAAAGAACGCGCATCACGTGAATTCTGGTTTTTTTGGTTGTCGAGAGTACTGCACCCACCGATCTGACTAACCATTTTTTCCAATGCGTCAGTTTTGTAGAGGAAAGTTTGCACTACAGACTGGTCAACACTAGAAATCTGGCTTCGGCCTCTTTAAATTTTCCTAGGTCGATCCAAAAAGATGTCGATATGGGTTTAAAGGCGCCAAAACCCGTATTCCCTTCTTCGACCGTTTTATTCAAATCGCGTGGGTAATTTTTTAAGCCGTTGCGACCAAGTAAGGCCTAGATGCTCCCGCATAGAACACACAACTGGTCTCGGAGGAAAAGGTTTACATCTCGGAAAAAGGAGGAAGATATCACGATTTTAGGCCCAGTTCGCTGTTATGATTTTTCGACAAGTCACTTAAGGTTTTGAGTTATAATATTTTGCCGGCAGTACCCACTGGTAAGAGGCTATCATACCATAATACAAAAAGAATTCTAGGCTTGTGCAGAAAAAAGAAAGAATGGAAGTTCGAGGATACCTTCGGGTCTCAAGCTCGGTCATTAAGTCCTATAAAAATTTTCAAATTTTTGAAAAACCCTCAGTCAATGCGGGTTTTAGACAATTGCATGATGTTGCCCCTACTGTGCTGCTTTGAATCCATGGCCTACATCGGCAGATTATTTAGGCATCTAATTTATGCGAAGCTTCGAGTCCGAAACACTCAGTCATCAGTTTTTGTTTCAAAGAAACTAGAAAATTCGCTGAAATTAAACTACGATGCGGAATCCAGCACGGTGGTTCGAAAGAGCTTCCTTTGGCACTGCATCATGTTTAACACCTCTCGCGCAGTGGCGTTTTTTGAATATTTCTGCGGCCGAAAAGTTTGGGGGCTCGCGGATGTCCGCGCGTCGGGTTCTTGGGCGCCCCAAGGAAAATCGTTAGAAATACAAGTACAGAGGTGGAATCCTCCAGATTTTTTTTAGCGTCAATAGCAGACACATAGGGCTTTCTGGTGTAGGTTACAGCTAGTCTCTCGACGCTCTAGGTAATTAAAGAAAAATTGCCGAAAAAAATTCTAGTTACTTTCCGACCAACCTAATAATTTGCTTCTTTTTCCAAGCAAAATGACATAACCAGATTTAGACGTTAATTCGAGGTGGCGGCTGTTTCTTAGCATTTTAAACACATTGTAAAATGGCGCATTTAAATAAAACGATTTTTCGAAGAGGGTTGCAAACTCGCCATTTCACGAGCTCGGAATTTGACTTCGCCATCAGAACTCCCATTCCGATCCGACCGTTCTCCGTCGAGTTAGAGGTTTTTTTTCGGAAACCCATACTGTTGATCTCTCAATTAGCATAGCAGGATATCATAGTGATTTTTGCCTGATAACCCGCAAAAATGGCAACATTCCGTTGCGCTGAGAAACCATGCGGGCGTGGCTACTGATTGGTATTTTTTGTATGAATTTGTCGGTATTAAGCTTGATTTAGCCTCGGTCTATTGGGTTTTGAACGCCGCCAAGCCGTCGGACGACAACTCGGAGTACAAAGTGCGTAAAAGGCCCAATTGCAAGTTACCGTTGGCTCCTAGGGGGACAGCGAAAATGTGTGCATCACCCCGGGCTGCGTTCGAGCGGCTGCAATTGTGGTAGCTTTACAGAACGTGTGATCTCTGGAAATTGAAGATGTTCAGCTCGAGAACATGGACAAGGCCGTCGACCCGTGCTTCGACTTCCACGAGTACGCTTGTGGTCGTTATAATCAGGTGTGGTTTAAGTAATTTGGTAGAGACGAAATGATCATTGAGGAACAGAGGGAGGGAAAGAGAGAGAAAGCGAGAAATAGAGAGAGTGTGAGAGAGAAAGAGAGAGAGAAAGAGAGAGAGAGAGAGAGAGGGGGAGAGAAATAAAGAAAGCGAGAGAAAGAGAGTAAAAGCGGGAGCGAGAGAGAGAAAGAGAGAGAGAGAGAGAGAGAGAGAGAGAGAGAGAGAGAAGGAGAGAGACGACAACCATCAGAACCACTTCTTTAGAGAGAGCCGCTCGACTGGACTTTTACCGCTTTCTATGCGCTTCAACGGCAGATTATAGGTTAGGAAATTATTAAAAACAACTGCTTTTACCTACCGTTTGCTTAGGCTACCTTGAGGATGAAGATGCCGACAAACTGGGGCTCAACTCGCTGAAGAAGGCCCAAAAAATGTTCAAGGCTTGCAAGCAGTTCAGGGAAATGCCGGATACTAGCCAGTAAGGTTTAACATAGCATAATAAATTTTTGCGTGCAATTTCCAGCCTATTCCGCGAGTATGCCATCGACAAATTCGGATGGCTGCCATTAGTGCAGCGGGGCAGACAAGTGGCAGGAACCATTACTTTTGAGTAAGATTCTTTAGGAAAAGGCCGATCTGATGACAATCCTAACGGCATTCACCACCGCCGAGTGGATGCCACTCATTCAAAGGGTCTTTGAACGTGATGGGGTTGTGGTGGTGGTGGGTCTCAGTCCGTGGACAAGCTTTTTCAACAACATTCAGGCTATTGAGGGCCATCAGAAAAAAATTGGGGAAAAGAAGGAAGCTATTGAGGAGCTGTACAAAGAAGTGAGTTCGTCTACGATTTTCCAAAACTTACCTTATTAATTTCGATCCTTAAATTACGTTTCAGAGATTCAACACCAGCACCAAACTATTGGGGATTCCGATAAATACTCTGGACGCTGTGGTGCAGCGGCAATTCGCTGAATTGGTCGAGTTTCAATTGAAAATCAATGAGGTGCTTTTTTGCTTAAGACACGAGCCTTTTTAATGCTGCAGATAGTCGCCGGGGCGCAAGAAGTCAGCGGTTACAGCAACATGACATTTCGACAATTTCGAGAAGCCGCGTCACCGGTAGGACACTACATTGGGTTCTGGTTGGCTTAACGTGGTTTTTGCCCATGTTTTCGACAAAAAGTCAAAAATAATATTTTTCAGATTTTTGGCCCAATTTATGTGAAAACTGTAAAAATGCCATAAAAATAGTTTTTATTTTATTATATCGGACCGGATGGCATCCTTAAAAAAATTTGGTTCACGCTAGCAGTCCCGTCCTTTTTCCTTTCCATTACACCTATTTGCAGCCCTCTCCCCCGATAAGAAACCAGAACCCTAGAATGAAGTCGGCATACTGTAATTAGTCTTGAGTCAGCTATAGCATATTCCGTACATTTTCAGTTGGACATTCGACGGTTCATCGGGCCTCGGATGCGCCAGAAGGATTTGGCATCGCTACGCGACGATACGCCCCTCAAGATCACGAGCATACACCTGCACGTATTGAAAGGAGTAAGGAGGGTTATAACAAGCGTATAGATCGTCACTTTAGATGGCCCAGCTTTTTTCGAAAACCAAGGAGGAGTTGCTGCGAAACTTTTTCTTGCTCGCCTGGGCCGAGAAGATGGAATTTGCATCGCGTGCTCTCGAGGACATGGATTGCTATAAATGGGTAAACAAGAAAAAATTTTGAAAAGAAAATACTGGCAATTAAGACCCAAGAATCCTATCTACAAGTGATAGACCACGTCGTCGCCGCCCGCCTCCGCGATCCGGATGATCTGCAGCGGGCAATGGTAGGAACGTTATTATGGTTTTACAATGGAAACTACCAATCTAGGAAATGGTGCCACCCCTCCAGAATGCCTACGTCGAGGTGATCAACGAGAACGAGTGGCTGTCACCGGAATCGAAAGCATGGCTGCGTCACGAGGTGACAAAACGGTTTCTTATGACCTCAATTGTTCAGATGACCACCGCCGCTTTCGACTTTGGGCCCGATCCGTTGGTTCTGAGCTCGAACCTCGTTGATGAGTTGTATGATCGGGTATAGGAATTGGTCAACGATTTAGAAAGTTATTTTAGGACCACGGCGCCAACTTCACCTCGTTCATCGACACCTTATTCAACGGCAGATTTTTCTGGCGCTTGGGGGTACGCGGTTAAGGCGCAGGATGTGCAAATTTGGCTCGACTTTGTAGGATCTTAGGAAAGAGCAGGACCAACCTTCGGCAACTCACCAAAACCATGAAATTGGTAAGCTGTCCTAAGGCATGGTCGAAGCGATGGAAGCTAACAAGGGAACCACCTAAGGTCAAGGTGGCGTTTTGTTATAGGACCCAGCCTATTCTGTGTAGAATTTTTTGCTGATTCCGAACCCGCTTTCAATTTTTGCTAAATAGCCCAATTTAAAAAGTTATAGCGATTTTAAGGTCATATCTGCGCCCGCGGGAAGTCATCTGTCACGATGCCCAACTTTTTTACTTTAATAGGGCAGTCGATTTTTAATAGCCTATCTTGTAGAGAATTTTTTTCTGATTCGATTGGTATATTTCATTAGTGCGCTACCACCTATCGACGATCACTTACGGGGGTGTGAAATAGGCAATTTTTCACCATTTCCCATACAAAAAAACGGAGTCCATACCAAGTATCGTCGATTTTTTCAATTTTCAACAATTTTGAGTTAAATAGTTCATTCGATAGAGAAAATTTTTCTGAATACGATGGCGATTTTCGTTTTTGAGGAATCAGACGGGAAATGCAAGATAAATGACTTTGAAGTTCGAAAGTTTGGGAAAAAAATGGAACTTTGAAACGCTATAACTTTTTAAATTGGGCTATTTAGCAAAAAATAAAAGCGGATTCGAAATCAGCAAAAAATTCTGCACAAAATAAGCTGGGTCCCATAACGAAACGCCACCTTGACCTTAGGTGGTTCCCTTGTAAGCCTAGTTCTGAGCTAGGCCTCAGCCTCGCGAAAGAAAACCTAAGCTAAGTCTAAGCTAAGCCCAAGATAAGCCTAAGCTAAGCCCAAGATAGGCCTAAGCTAAGCCTAAGCTAAGCCTAAGCTAAGCCTAAGCTAAGCCACTCAGCCAAACATCGGCCCAATTCATATTTTCCAGCCATTGTCTCCTTCTTCTTCGCATCTCCATTCTTTTCCCATGATTGGCCGCTGGAAGCGCGACTTGGCGGCCTCGGCGCGATCATTGCCCATGAAATGTCGCATACACTCGATTTGCCAAGTGTGTTTTAACAAAATAACTTAGTCCAAAGCCCTGACGAAAGCCACTTCAGGCAAATTCCCAAAAGACGCCCCCGAGGAGGACCGGGCCGAGATGATGGAACGTCAGAAGTGCCTCATCGAACTGTTCGACAAGATGGAGTACCCGAATCCATGGCTGAATTTTACGATCCGTGTTTGTTTTTTGGGAAGGGAAAATACAGAGCTTTAGTCGACTGGCGAGGTGGCGCTGCACGAGTCGACGCCCGACCTGAACGGGCTGAAAGTGACGTATAGGGTACGCTGAACTACTCCAGCCAGCCGCCTCATTGGGAGTTTAGGCGTACCTGAATGAGAAAAAGCGCTTGTTCCACAACAAAACGCCTCGCTGGCCAGGGCTTACGGAATACACCCCCGAACAGACATTCTTCCTTTTTGATTCACAGGTGCGGCATTTAAGATTTAGAGCGAAAGAGAGAGAGAGAGAGAGAGAGAGAGAGAGAGAGCGTGAGTGAGAGAAGGATTGAGAATTGCGAGAGATTGAGAGAGAGCGAGAAAGCGAGAAAGCGAGAGAGCGTGAGAGCAGGAGAGAGCGATGCCGATATAGCGCGAGAAAGAGCGAGGGAGAGAGAGAGCGCGAAAAAAATAGTCAGGGTCATCTATCTCTGTTCCAGAAATTTTGCGGTCGCCTCACCTGGCCGACCACCCCGGATGACAGTCTTTTCGACGAGTGGGTGAAAATTCTGAAAAGTCTGTATTACCAGCTGCATCAAAAATGTTAATTCTAAACTAATCTTTCAGCCCTCACCCACGACCCCCCTACCGCGCCAATTTCGTATGATTCGATTCATACAAATAATCAATCACTTTCTAGCTCTACCAAAACTTTGAGCCGTTCGCGAGCGCTTTTCGCTGCCCGGTATGCTATTTTTAAAGCCATTTTTAATCCGAAAAAAAAGAAAAAAGTCCGAAGCTCATGGTTTTTAGATCGGCACCCCGATGAACCCGCCGAAGAAGTGCCGCATCCTGCGCCACAAGAAACTGCTCTAGGCCGAGGGGATCAAGAAGCAAGCACTTATCGCGTTGTTTCGCTCTTGGTCGTGTGTGTATTTTCTTGATCATGTGCGGGTTTTGCAATAAAGGGCTTTGTCGAATACATCTGGCTCGAATGCTTTCTTCGGAATTCAGGTACTTCCGCATCATCTCCGTGGGGAGGGGGAGGTAAGTTTTTCTGTCGTAAACAATTCTGCTAATAACAGAAGGGTGTCTCGACCGTTATTTGGTGCTAGTTGAATGTCAAAGGCCTAAACATTTAAAAAACAAAAAAAAAATCCGATTTTTGTCCGCGAATTTCGAATTTTTAAATTTATTTTTTTAAGGTTTTTTATAGTTATTCCGCTTCCGAACGAAATTAAAAACTAACAAACTGTCAATATGGCTGCTTTTATGCTACAAGAAGTTTCTATGTATTTATTTCAGTTGCGGTTTAAATTGCAAGTTCAAGCGTAGTTCTAATCCATTCCATTGTTGAGCTTGCTCATCACATATCCAACAGTCTTGTGTTATACCTAAAAATTGCTGTTTTGCTATGGATCAGGGTAACAGCGGGGGGGGAGAGTAAATAGTGCGTAGTTGTAAAAACTTACCTCGTACTTTGAACATTTCCTCATAAAACTCCCGCTACTGGTTGGTTTTTTATCCAGGACCCTGAAATTTGCTGTTGTCCACAGAAGACGGTAAAGGCATTTGTAGCTGTGTTTTGGAATGCTAAATATTTGTCGATGCCTCGCCAAAGAGCGCGGGGGTCGATTTTAACGATTAAAACAAGTTTAAATTTTAGAAAATGTAAAATATGTCGAATGTTTTTGAAGCAGAGATTGCACGAAGTCTTTAATCTAGTGGCTATCACTGACCTGGACATACGAAGCTTATGCGTGGCCCTCCTTTTTCACCTTGACATGTGTCTTGTCGTGCATACAGTATCGAATTCCAGATTATGGCCGATTTGCCGTGTTGGTTCCAACATGATTGTGCCTGAAAATTAACACAACCTGTAGAAGCCAAGAAATGTGCTGGATTACCGTTTCCAAAGTATATCGTCGGCGCACTCTCGTGTAGATATAGGCGGTGTCCATTCCATCATTTTTCCGAACAAGCTAATGACGCTTGCCATGGTGGTGGTTCGACGATTCCCCAAAGTCCTGAGTGATACCT